ATAAATAAATAAATAAATACAAACAACGATTTAAAGTATTCGTCTACAACTCGTCAGAGATGCTATGGGTCAAAAAATTAAGCCTAGGAGGTGACTGAGGAAAATCTAAAGTGATCGACAGAAATGTCAAAATGTAGTTGGGAAGGTGAACTAGTCCAATAAATCAATAAATTTTGTATTGTTCATATGTCTGATAATTTTAGAACAGCGTCACGTACATGTGTATATATACTGCACCGTGCCGCTGTTCGAACAGTGTCCATCAGCAGTGTCTTCTACCTGCCAAAACTGAACATACTAATTAAACAAAACAATCCAAGATGGCCTCTATTCAACCACTTCCCATCTGTCCCCCAAAACAGACAATTCACAACCAAGGACAAAGTGAAACGAGAAATGACGAGGATAAAATGTACTGGTCAAAATTCGAGATGAACGACAATCGGCCAGGCTTTCTGCGGCCCCAACACTACCAATGTTCTACTAGGGGCCCAGTGCAACTACCTCTCTGGAAATAGTAATAATAACAAGACTGTCGATAGATATGATGAATACTCTCCTGAAACAGTATCAGTGGAGGTCTTTCTTGTCCGTGTATTCGGTCATATCAGTGACATATATCTGTAAAATAGATTAAAACGGAGAGTTTGGAAAGAAAGATGTTTTAACATGGTACATAAATGTGTTTATGACTGACACATACTTGAGCTGAACAAGTAAGAGGATATTTCACTCAGTCTGATACCTAATGTTGATGTCATTGTCTTGTCAGCTATAAGCATTGAATGTTGTTATACTGTACAATGTTCGAGATAATCTAGAGTTTAAAAATTATAGGTTTTGAAACTTAAAAAAAATACAATATGTTGTGATTTTTATTGGCATCAATTTAAAATTACACACCATGGAGAAAAATTTATCAAAGGGCAATAACTATATAATTAATGGTTCGCTGTCACCAAATTTCACCTTATCACTAAGTATTAGTTTAAATACAAGACATGTTATATTCTGGACACGAAATTTGAACAAAGGGCGATAACTCTCTATATAAAAAAAATTGTAGGCCTTGGATTTGGTACGTAGCAAATCACCTACGGTACATACCAAGCTTTATGATCCTTGCATAACAATGGGCAAAGGGGTGATCCGGTCTCGAAAGGACAGACGGATGGACCATGCGGCAATTATATGTTTCTCCAATTATTTTCGGGAAACGTAATCGTTGTTTACTAGAGATTGTCGTTTGGGGCTCGAACGAAGAGCCCACCATTTAAAAAGAGCGTTTGCTATATAATTATATACCATTTGATTGCTAAGCTGGTACTCTTTTAAGGCGATGATAACATATCTTCTTGTTGGCCATTCCTTACCTTTACACAGCTATTACAGACAAGAGTTGTCCTTCTATTTATCTTCACTGTAATGGATATGTTTTCAAGAATGGCCTCGAGTTCCATGTCTTTTGGATTTGTTCCGACACATGTTTGTAATATCTAACACTCTTCTCGTATAGATATTGTTCGTTATCTTAAACACCTTCAGGACGTCTCTTCATCTTTTCTACAGATATCGTTTGTTAACAAATTTGAAATGTCTAACCAAAAATGTATTGGTTCCCTCATATATAACAATATCAGTGAACCCGTGTCTGTTGTCAATAGGTATGCATGGACTGTCGATAATGAGTGTGACACTATATTTTTAGTTTTATATAGAGGAGTTAAATGGTAATATCCCAGCTGTTTTAATACATGTAACAGACTGCTGTACTTAGATAAGAGATGTTTTCTTACCTGACACTGATGTAAAACTTTCATCAACTCTTCTCTGTATTATTGATTTCCAATGATATCAGCGCTAGCAGACATGTAAATAATCTCTTTTCTCTTGGCTATCGTATTTAATGGGTTTTCCTGTGATAAGTAAATAGCACTTTCACCGCGAATCTGAATTCTTAATGTAGAAAACGAGATAGGTGTGAATTAATTGTCATACGAGTTGTGAAATATTTATGCAATTGCCACTACCTGTTTTTAATTAAGAAACACCCCGGCGCAGGTGAAACACTAATTAAGGTAATAAAAACACCTCTCAATCATGTCAGGTAACCGACAATATGGAAGATGGATTTTGCCGATGAAATTGGGTTCAGTCTGAAAGGGATAATTGTTTACTTTGGTCATTCTTGTATCTGTGAATTGTCCATACCTCAGTTATCCTAACCCTGACCGCAAGCTTAACGTCCGGTCAGAAGTTAAGAGACAGGACATGGTAATGATACTCTGTACCACTCAAGCTAAGCACCCGTTGCATTAAAATGGGTCAGAGCTATATACAAACATATATGTACATTCTAGTATGGTCCAACATAAGATCATATGAAATGAGGCCCTCAGTCCAGTTATAACCTACAGAGAAGGCCATCTTCCCCATCGAAGTCCAAGGGTTTCATTGTCGAGATATTATCTCCTTTTAAAACACGTTTGTCGGAAACGGACACTTGTAATTAAAAAATGGAGTGAACCTACCTACATTTCTAGTACTATCGGATTAGTTTTCAAAACTTTGGTCTCATTCTAAACACACACCGCCTTTGATCCTACTCCTTACACTTACCACTTTCTTATCAGACCTTCAGGAACACCAGATCTTCAAGACCAGATATGTCCTTGAAACAGATCTCTTAATACCCAACGTCAAATAACATTGTACAGGCCCTTTTGGTAGATCCCTCTCTTCAAACCATATCTACAACGTTCCTTGGAATGGAGTCTCTTATGACACTGGTCCCAGCTATCCGATTATTGGCCGTTATAAAGACACTAAAAAGGCGCCTTTGTCACAGATCTATCCCAGAGAGATAGACATCAAAGCCCTGCAGTAATTTACGGACCTTGATTCAGCTCGGGCCTAGCTCTATGACTTACACCAAGGACCAAAACGCTCCAGCTCCGGCCTTTCCTCATTCCTCACAACGAATTGGTCTTAAATGGAGAAACAATTCTTCAGCAATGGTGTTTTTTCAATTCATGACACCAAAGGTCATAATTCTTTTAAGACAGGTTGGTAATTTGTTCCACGCTATCATCAAATATTACGAAAACTTACGATTTTAATCAAATTTTACAAAACTCCTTAAGTTTTTTTTAAAAATTAAAAGACCAAACCCTTGAAAAAAAGTCGACTGGAGCTAAATAACAACCCTGTCAGTATTTTGTCAATAAAAAAACTACATATACATTTACAATTTTATGTCTTCATCCGCCACGGTGTGAATTATCACAAAAAGGGATAAGAAAATACCAACATGTCAACAAAATCATAATCCAAACTCAAATTCAATAAAACATTTAAAGCAAATAACAAACAAAAGAAACATTTACACGGATATTCCTGAAAAAAGTACCACAAAGACCAGGTGTTTCAGAAGAATAAGGTCTTTTGCTGCATTGACGATATCGCCACGAAAATCTTGGCAAATCCAAGTAAGTAATGTCAGGTTCTCCAAATCATGACAGAGTGACAACACTACAAACTCCTTGCCATTTCCTGGTGGTGGCACAAATAACGATGTACAAAATGCTGATATGTATATAACATTTTAATTTTCTTGTTAAAAAATAGATATTGCCATTTGTTTATAATATATACGTCTGTAATAAGTGTATTAGTATGTAAATACATGTATATCTAAATACCTTGGCTACAAAATTAGATAGGGCACAGTTTCACCTCCCTGACCACACTCTCCGAATCAGCCTTCTGGTATCAATATAATCTTTTCTGAGGTAGTATGATGTATATTGGGCAGAAAAATACAGATATAGTTACCGATGTGCTTGTACAAAAGTATTCAAGAAATATGGAATTCAAAATATTTCGGGTAAATGATTCACACACAAACAATTTGTCACTTCTGAAACAAGATACACATTTAAACACATCCTGACCTGATTGATCACCAGATAGTATACGTGTACCTGTGTGGAAAACATACAAACATTGTGACAGTCGACATGTATATATAGCAATATCTTTACTGGCATCAACTCCTCACCCATACCACTACTATAACAAATCTACACTAATTAACATGTTGGGGTATTTTTTCATATGAGAAGAATATGAGACTGAATCAAACTTACACCCAAATAAAACAAAGTCAACAATTATTTAATCAAAACAAATTAAATCATAAAAAACAATTATAATAAAAGACACAAAGTTTGTCATTCTAATCATAATATCAATTTATGTAACAATTTTCTGTCCTGATGATTGTGCTAACGTTCTGAACACTTCTGATAGCAGAAATTCTGAACAAGATTCTAGCTCAGAGGAGTTGTCTCCCCTATTCGCTACCTACAGGATCACGACTTCTTATAGTCATGAAATACTGTTTATATGCTGGATTTCTGTTGAATTATTCAATATTATAAAGGTGATTTATTGAAATGCTGGAAATTTTCTTTTGTTTCCACACCTGGAATACCACTTTACAAACACCATTTTGTATTATAAGAAATAAAATGCCCTTCTTAGATACATCAACATTGTATAAACCTGTTGGTACTGTTATTTAGTTTTCAATATTCACCATCATTTTATAAACATATTTCTGACCTCTCCCTCACTGTACTATATATAAATTTGCAATACACATGGTCCTTGATCCTGATACATAATAATATTATATAGGAAAGTAAACATCTATGTTACAATGTATTACTTTAAAGATGCTGTGTCACTGTCAGGTATCAAGCCCACTGTCTACCAGTACACAAGGAATTAAAATCTGGATACCTTGTGAATGCTTGGAGAGTTCCACAAGCTTTGAGTTACATTTTCAGCAGTTGTGGGTATATTTTCCCTGAACAAGGCAACTGAACAATATTCAAGTCAGGCCTGCTATAAAGTATTGTATCAACATGTTGTGGAAGTAAACTATTGAAGGACCGGGATACCTTCACAAGGCTTCAAACAGACAGACTTTTCAGTACGCAAAGATTTAACATGATATAAATAAATAACATTCCACAACATTTTCACAGTCTGAGAACCCTACCAAGTATCACACAACCTTATGCTCATCTTTTGGATCATGATCAAAATTGTAGTCTAAGTGAACAAAAGCTCGCTCCACTTCTGGCAGTCGTTCTAGTTTCTGTTGAAGTGGCTCCCCTATGTTGTGTGCTTCAGATAAGGACATATCCTGGGGTAAAACGATATCTACTTCTACTAGAAAATTATTTCCGAAGTGGAAAGCTCGAACTGTTTCCACGAAACGTATCCTGTGATCGTGATTGACACAAACCCATGTGATCTTTTTCAGAAAGTCTGGTTTGGCAGTAAAACCTGTCAACATCTTAGTCTGGTCTGAAAAGAGAAGCATGACTTTCTGCACTGGAAAAAGATAATCAACCTTTTCAAATTATTGCTAAGGACTTCAGTTATTTAAATGATCTAGTGCTAACCTATCAAGACATATCCTACAATCTGAACGCACACTTCCCATTCCTTGGAAAAGTATGTCCTACTCTAGACACAACATGTTATGTACTCCTTAAAAATCTCACTAAAGGCATAACCTGCATCTTATTAACCAACCATTGACATATCTAGACACATATTTTCTGCCATAAAGTTTCTACAATAACTACCCCAGCCTGTGATCCTATAATGCCTACCCCTGTATATGATTCTACAATAATTAAAACAGCCTGCAATCCTTCAGCACCTTCCCCTGCCTGTGATCCTACAGAACCTATTCAAGCCTGTGATCCTGTAATACTTATCCAAGTCTACAATCCTTCGATTCCTATGATCCAACTATACATATCCCAGCCTTTGATCCTGTATATCCTACCCCAGCCTTGATCCTAGATCTGACCACAGCCTTTGATCCTGTAAATCCAACCCCAGCCCAAGATCTTAGATCCTACTCCATCCTTTGATCCTGTAAATCCTACCCCAGCCTTGATCCTAGATCTGACCACAGCCTATGATCCTATAAAACCTTTCCTACAGTACTGACCCCATTCTATGATCCTATAAAGCCTTTCCTACAGTACTGACCCCATTCTATGATCCTATAAAACCTTTCCTACAGTACTGACCCCATTCTATGATCCTATAAAACCTTTCCTACAGTACTGACCCCATTCTATGATCCTATAAAACCTTTCCTACAGTACTGACCCCATTCTATGATCCTATAAAACCTTTCCTACAGTACTGACCCCATTCTATGATCCTATAAAACCTTTCCTACAGTACTGACCCCATTCTATGATCCTATGATCTTACCTACCCTTGTACATGACTCTAAGGTACGTACCGAGCTAATGATCATAGAACCAAAGTACTTCCTAAGTGTATGATCCTAGCACCTATAGAACCTCCCCAGCCTGTGATCATTTGATATAACCCTACCATATGATTGTAGAGTACCTACCCCAGCCTGTGATCACATTATATAACCCTACCATATGATTGTAGAGTACCTAACCCAGCCTGTGATCATTTAATACAATCCAACATATGATTGTAGAGTACCTACCCCAGCCTGTGATCATTTAAAACAATCCAACCATATGATTGTAGAGTACCTACCCCAGCCTGTGATCATTTAATACAATCCAACCATATGATTGTAGAGTACCTACCCCAGCCTGTGATCATTTAATACAATCCAACCATATGATTGTAGAGTACCTACCCCAGCCTGTGATCATTTAAAACAATCCAACCATATGATTGTAGAGTACCTACCCCAGCCTGTGATCATTTAATACAATCCAACCATATGATTGTAGAGTACCTACCCCAGCCTGTGATCATTTAAAACAATCCAACCATATGATTGTAGAGTACCTACCCCAGCCTGTGATCATTTAAAACAATCCAACCATATGATTGTAGAGTACCTACCCCAGCCTGTGATCATTTAAAACAATCCAACCATATGATTGTAGAGTACCTACCCCAGCCTGTGATCATTTAATACAATCCAACCATATGATTGTAGAGTACCTACCCCAGCCTGTGATCATTTAAAACAATCCAACCATATGATTGTAGAGTACCTACCCCAGCCTGTGATCATTTAAAACAATCCAACCATATGATTGTAGAGTACCTACCCCAGCCTGTGATCATTTGATATAATCCAACCATATGACTGTAGAGTACCTACCCCAGCCTGTGATCATCTGATACAATCCAACCATATGATTGTAGAGTACCTACCCCAGCCTGTGATCATTTAATACAATCCAACCATATGATTGTAGAGTACCTACCCCAGCCTGTGATCATTTAATACAATCCAACCATATGATTGTAGAGTACCTACCCCAGCCTGTGATCATTTGATACAATCCAACCATATGACTGTAGAGTACCTACCCCAGCCTGTGATCATTTGATACAATCTAACCATATGATTGTAGAGTAGGTACCCCAGCCTGTGATCATTTAATACAATCCAACCATATGATTGTAGAGTACCTACCCCAGCCTGTGATCATCTGATACAATCCAACCATATGATTGTAGAGTACCTACCCCAGCCTGTGATCATTTAATACAATCCAACCATATGATTGTAGAGTACCTACTCCAACTTGTGATCATTAAAAACAAGAGGCCCATAAGGCCTGTATTGCTCACCTGGACCAACATTACTATATCTGTGCATATGTTCCATGTTTAACACATTTGACCCCTGTGACTTTGACTATGGGTCAAGGTCATTTCTTTTACTTTCTTGGACTTCATAAAAGGAACATACTGGCAAAATATAATGATTCTAGGCTTTTCGATATTTCAGAAGAAATTGTTTAAACGTTTTAACACATTTGACTCCTGTGACCTTGAAGATTGGTCAAAGTCATTTCTTTCAGCAAACTTTGTAGGACACCATAAGAGGAACATTGTAGCCTAATATAATGACTCTAGGCCTTCCGGTATTTTGAAAGAAGTCGCGTAAAATTTTTTAACACATTTGACCTCTGTGACCTTGAATATATGTCAAGGTTATTTTTTTTTTTCGCAAACTTTGTTGGGCTTCATCAAAGGAACCTTCCAGCCATATATAATGATTCTAGGCCTTCAAGTATTTTGGAAGAAGTCGTTTAAATGTTTTAAAACATTTGACCTCTGAGACCTTGAATATGGGTCAAGGTTATTTTTTTAGCACAAAGTTTGTTGGGCTTCATCAAAGGAACCTTCCAGCCAAATATAATGATTCTAGGCCTTCTGGTATTTTGGAAGAACCTTTAAAGGTTTTAACACATTTGACCTCTGTGACCTTGAATATGGGTCAAGGTAATTTCTTTTTGCAAACTTTATTTGGCTTCATCAAAGGAACCTTCCAACCAAATATAATGATTCTAGGCTTTCCGGTATTTTGGAAGAAGTCGTTTAAAAGTTTTAACACATTTGACCTCTGTGACCTTGAATATTGGTCAAGGTCATTTCTTTTAGCAGGAACCTTCCAGCCAAATATGATAACTCTATGCCTTTCGATATTTCAGAAGAAGTTGTTTAAATGAAAAGTTGATGGACGCCGGATGGACGGACGATGGACGTACGACGGATGCCGCGCTATGGCATAAGCTCACTTGGCCCTTTGGGCCAGGTGAGCTAACAACCCTACCATATGATCATAGAGTACTTACCCCAGCCTGTGATCCACCAGCTGATGATGATGTAGATGGAGATGACTATAGCTCCACAAGGGTCTATATATACAAGGCCATAAGCTTCAGACACATTATTTTGCATATCTTGAGACCCTGTTGAAAAATAAAACACCAATAACAGTTCAACATTTTCTTTAATATATGTGTAAGTACACAATCATAAACCAAAATTATCTTTAATGTAAGACATATTTTACCTCATTAAGTAATAGTTAATATTACTATTACCATTTACAGTGAATTTAATTGCACCACTTATAAGAAAAGTCCTTCAGAAACTGTTTACGATAAATATAATTGTACCAAAGATAATATGTGTCCTCAAGAAATTACATATATAAATATTGAGGATAATTGCACCACTAATAATAAATGTCCTTCAGAAACTGTTTACAATAAACATTATTGTACCACAGATAATATGTGTCCTTCAGAAATAACATATATACCTGGTATTGAGGATTATTTAACCACTACAATATATGTCATTTAAGGACAATTCTTAGTGAGGATGATTGTATCGCCAATGATATATAACCTAGAAAATCTCATTACCTATGTATCCACATACAAGGGCCACGGAGTTGGACAGCACGTCATTACGGTGATCCTGGGCCAGAGCTTGGACACTAGGCTTTTGGACACGGCGACATAACAGATACAATACAAGCTTGATCACTGAAACACAACAGGTTTTAAGGAATTAAAACGCAGAAAGCAAATCTACCTAGTGGTTTAGTTGGGTAAAGCTTTAGACTGTTCATGTGATCTTTGATACTCTGACAATAAATATCTTCATATATTTTTATGAGAATGAACATAGAAGCTATGATGATATGTTATTGATATAGCAATGCTAGTCTACGTAGAGGTAAAATTAGCCAACTCTATATAAAACTTACCGACTGTGGAAGATGTTATAACAATTGTTGGTATTGTGAAGCTAGGTGCTGATGACTTATAGTTAGCAAGATCTACAAGCTTTTCTGCCGACTCCCTGATCAGCTGTAGAGACGCCACACTCATTATAACAGATAACACAACAATGGCTATAGGCTCCAGCTTAGTTCTACCTGAAAATGAGATATCACAGAGTTTACAGACTGAATCAAATGTCACTAATATAAAATATTTACAGATTTTGTTTTTATTTTCCACACTGTACTTCTTTTTCAATATTTATGAAATCTTTAATCCAATACCCTTAACCATTGTCTACAGCTCTGGATTGCTCACAAATATAATGTCTAAACAATTTTCAAAAGAGAGGCTATGTAATCTAATTAAAAACATACATATGCAGTAATTATTTCATCAATGATAAATTCTCATGGAGTCCAACTAAAGAGACATCTTTACAATTTGTTTTTTCTATGAAAGAAACCTACCTTGTGGATATTCATACAGGTTTCGGTTTTTCACTGCTCTGGTAGTGGCCCAAATAACAATACCCGAGGCAAAGTCGACGATGCTATCCACCAGACTTGAGATAACAGATATTGACCCAGACAAGATAGCTGCTGCTAGTTTTGCTATCAGTAGAATCTACAAAAAAAAATGTTTTTATTACATCTTAAAATTATTATGAAATAAAGTAATTTCTGATTCAAGATCTTCAAATTATCTCCCTTGAAAATGAACTATGCATCCAAAATGAATCTTTTCAAAAGAAGCTATATCAAATATTTCTGACATCTAATATACATTTTAAATCTTATTTAATAGTTGCTTTAAATTTTGGAATACTTCTGTAAGAAACATTTCTTTAAAAAACATAAACAAAAAAGAGAAAATTTCCATATCTTAAATTAGAACCATTTACAGTAAGACGTTTAGGACCTGTGAAATGTTACTGTCATGCTTGCATCAATATAGACATTTTTCATTTGCAATAGAAAAATGATAATGGAAACTGCATAATTTTCATACAAAAATATCTTGTATTAGGTTGTTAGAAGTTGTTGCAAGCAGAGGGCAATATCTATTTCTGACTTCAAATTTTATGAAAAATGTTTCATGGCAAGAATTATCTTCAGAATAAAGGATTTTGTGTTTTCTAACTTGCCAAATTAAGTAAAGGCTGGAATTCTAAAATTAACATAAATCATAGAAAAGCTGTATGAGCTGAAAAGTTGTTGTACTCACTAAATTAGCAGCGAGACTGAGTTTAGCTAAGAGAGCAGCACTGGATTTCTTCCCTTCAGGTTCTGGATTTCTTTCCTCTGCTGTTTTCTTCTCCAATTCCTCAATGTTCTCATAAGTCTCTATCAGTCCATCTTGAGCTTTGTAATAGGACCTGGCAAGGAGTTAAAAGTGTGATAAGGCAGGTGTTTGACATCGAGGTCCAGAGGGGGTTTTGTTACCAGGGCTATGCGTTCAATACAGGGGTCCAGAGAGGAATGGTGGTGGTTACAACCAGGGTGACATGTTGACATAGGGGTTCAAAGAAGGGTATCACTACTGGAAAGAGGCTGTTCAACAACATATACCTGTAGAAAGGACTTATTTTATCCTCATTTGGGAGGGATTTATGGGAGGGACTTATGGGGGGATTTATGGGAGGGGCTTATGGGGGGATTTATGGGAGGGACTTATGGGGGGATTTATGGGAGGGGCTTATGCGAGGGACATGTGCGAGGGACATGTGGGAGGGACTTATGGGGGGATTTATGGGAGGGGCTTATGGGAGGGACATGTTGGAGGGACTTATGGGAGGGACTTATGGGGGATTTATGGGAGGGGCTTATGGGAGGGACATGTGGGAGGGACTTATGGGAGGGACTTAGGGGAGGATTTTTTTTGGCATCATATGGAATCAACTTATCATTATATCATTTTTGGAAGGGCTTATCTTATTGTTTCTGGAGTGATTCAGTAATCTAACACAATAAGCAAGGAAATAAACACTATATGGACCAGATTTATTATAAAAAGGGCAAAGGGTACAGTCTTAAGGGACAGATTTATCATCATATAGTTTGGTTTCTGGTAAGGAAGAGGTAACAAGTGCTATGACACGACTCACAATGGGGTTGGTTTATCTTTATATATAGACTTACCATGTCGCTAACTGATATTGTCATCAATTTCAGTTTGATGATGGTATAATGAATACGTTTTACATCAACTTACAATTTGTTGTTGTTTTCTAAGTAGGGGAAAATTATCTCTTACCCTGGACAGATATATCCCACCTTTTACAAGTGTGACATTTCATTGTCTCATCTTAGGGCTGAGACAGGGGAATTCCCATCACGTAAGAGTTTTGCTAGTCAGCAAATGTCTTGCCAAACTCTTACACTTGGGTCGAGATATCTCTGTTAATGAAACAGACACATGCAAGATTCCAATAATCACCAAATGGGAAGGGTGCACCCTCACAGAGGTATGTACCTATCTTTACAGGAGAGGCTGCATCCTCACAGAGGTATGTACCTATCTATGTGCCTATCTTTACAGGAGAGGGTGCATCCTCACAGAGGTATGTACCTATCTTTACAGGAGAGGGACATCCTCACAGAGGTATGTACCTATCTTTACAGGAGAGGGTACATCCTCACAGAGGTATGTACCTATCTTTACAGGAGAGGGATATCCTCACAGAGGTATAAGCCTATCTTTACAGGAGAGGGTACATACCCACAGAGGTATGTACCTATCTTTACAAGAGAGGGTGCATCCTCACAGAGGTATGTGCCTATCTTTACAGGAGAGGGACATCCTCATAGAGGTATGTACCTATCTTTACAGGAGAGGGACATCCTCACAGAGGTAAGTACCTATCTTTACAGGAGAGTGTACATCCTTACAGAGGTATGTACCTATCTTTACAGGAGAGGGTACATCCCCACAGAGGTATGTACCTATCTTTACAGGAGAGGGTACATCCTCACATCCCACAGAGGTAAGTACTTATCTTTACAGGAGATGGTGCACCCTCACAGAGGTATGTACCTATCTTTACAGGAGAGGCTGCATCTTCACAGAGGTATGTACCTATCTTTACAGGAGAGGGTACATCCTCACATCCCCACAGAGGTATGTATCTATCTTTACAGGAGAGGGTACATCCTTACAGAGGTATGTACCTATCTTTACAGGAGAGGGTGCATCTTTACAGAGGTATGTACCTATCTTTACAGGAGAGGGTACATCCTCACATCCCCACAGAGGTATGTACCTATCTTTACAGGAGAGGGATATCCTCACAGAGGTATGTGCCTATCTTTACAGGAGAGGGTACATACCCACAGAGGTATGTACCTATCTTTACAAGAGAGGGTGCATCCTCACAGAGGTATGTGCCTATCTTTACAAGAGAGTGTGCATCATCACAGAGGTATGTGCCTATCTTTACAGGAGAGGGACATCCTCATAGAGGAATGTACCTATCTTTACAGGAGAGGGACATCCTCACAGAGGTAAGTACCTATCTTTACAGGAGAGTGTACATCCTTACAGAGGTATGTACCTATCTTTACAGGAGAGGGTACATCCCCACAGAGGTATGTACCTATCTTTACAGGAGAGGGTACATCCTCACATCCCACAGAGGTAAGTACTTATCTTTACAGGAGATGGTGCACCCTCACAGAGGTATGTACCTATCTTTACAGGAGAGGCTGCATCCTCACAGAGGTATGTACCTATCTTTACAGGAGAGGCTGCATCCTCACAGAGGTATGTACCTATCTTTACAGGAGAGGGTACATCCTCACATCCCCACAGAGGTATGTACCTATCTTTACAGGAGAGGGTGCATCCTTACAGAGGTATGTACCTATCTTTACAGGAGAGGGTACATCCTTACAGAGGTATGTACCTATCTTTACAGGAGAGGGTGCATCCTTACAGAGGTATGTACCTATCTTTACAGGAGAGGGTACATCCTCACATCCCCACAGAGGTATGTACCTATCTTTACAGGAGAGGGTGCATCCTTACAGAGGTATGTACCTATCTTTACAGGAGAGGGTACATCCTCACATCCCCACAGAGGTATGTACCTATCTTTACAGGAGAGGGTACATCCTTACAGAGGTATGTACCTATCTTTACAGGAGAGGGTACATCCTTACAGAAGCATGTACCTATCTTTACAGGAGAGGGTTCTTCCTCACAGAGGTATATAGCTATCTTTTCTGGAGAAGGAGTTCAGTAGGTCAAACAGAATACAGACATACCTGATTCTCTTTGTCCAAGCTGGATCACCTTTGTCTCCTTGTTTTTTGGATGAAAACAACTGAACTGACATTTTCCAATCATGTTCTTTACTGATCTTTTCTTTGCTGGAATTATCTGGAAATAGTGTGAAAATAAGATTTATGGATTAACACTAAGGAGCAAGACAGGTGAGCATAACAAATAATGTAAAGAAAAGGCTATATATGAGATATAATCCACTGACAGGTATAAACAAATTTATAGTTCAACCAAAATAAACTGTTGACCAAAATTTTGAATCTTTGTCATAATTATAGTTTCTGCTTCAGACTAAACTTTTGTGTGTAGCTATGTATGGATGTCAATAAACATCAAAACATACAAAAGTATCAACAGTGACAGTAGTAAACATAACACCTTAAACCGCCAGGGATTTTTATATAATGTTTTTCTCAGACACTGAATCCCACAGGAATTGTTTGATGGTGTTAACATCTTCAGACACCAAGGCACTTTATCTAAGCCTTGAATTACCTTCTTATGGAATAAATCATCATTATAACTGATGACGACAGACAAATAAGATCATAATAAATCAACTATAACAACAACAAACAATAAATAGTCTGTTTGGGTTATAGATGATATATCGTAATGTTCATGTAAGTAGACATTTACTGATACATTTCACTTCTCTCTGGTAACTATAGGTTTCTTAGCTAAACCATATGTAACGATAAAACAATGTCTTTATTTTGTAAGAACAGAGAAACCAACTTTAAGCTTATATAAATAACATTTGTTGGTCTTGATAGAAGTGTACGAGGGTCTCTCCATGGGAGGGGACCAGGGTATCTGGGGAAAGCAGACATGGTCAGGCAGATGACTCACCTCATATCTTTCCATGTCTGTTAAGGGAATTTCCAAAACATAAACATCGAGTGCAATACCACTGTATCATTTGACTAATCCCTACATAAAGATAACACAGAATGAAAAATACAGTGTGCATGAAGAATATTACCTTCATAGATCTGACTGGAAGAAGGTGCTACTTCTGTCATACGAACACACCGTCCACATCCAGCCTTCACATCTGGGTCCTGCTCTGTGTTCACGTGTGAATTGAGTGCATCAGCACGACCCAGGAAATAACTTTCACTCGGGTCAAGTTCTTTGTCAGGCTGTAGATACAGAATCAAAACAACAAATAAAAAAAGGTCAACATGTCAACAAAATCAAAATATAAACTCAAATTCAATAAAACTGGGGCAAAATATGAACAACACAAAGATTTACAGGGAGATCCCTGAAAAAGACGACTTGTTCCAGAAGGCCCACCATGTATTTCCTGTTTTCCATTAATGATAACAGGCATCTACTTTCAAAAAGTAAAAATACTTATGTACATGTAGGCCAAATGAAAAATTTGGAATTAACAATTATTATTTAAAAATAAAAATTTCGATGTAACCACTCACTGTGAAACTTTGGTTGATGAGTCCTGCTGTTGTCATAGAACTAACATTGATCTCATCCATCTCTAGTTTTGTAGGTTCGTAATCTGTGGCCATACTGCTTGTTCCTGCCATGGACTCTTCTGTCTATAGGAACATTGTAATTCATACATTTATAAAATTCAGCAAAACAAAAGCAGAATATTCAGAACTTTGGAACCAATCATGAGATATATGTGAAAATCTGTAAAAATCAGGTCTTTAGACCAGTGGACACTCAATTAAAACACAGGTATATCAAATATTACATACGACAATGGACTCACAAATTTTCATATATACACCTTAATGACTACCCTGGTGATTAAGATATATTTATTTAACAATAAAAAAAGCTTTATTTTGAGACAAGGGAACATTCAACCTGCATCATTACTTAATGGTAGACAATTTATTTATTTTTAATTAAAATTTCATTTTTTTCTTCTTATCATTTAGTCTTGAGTGGTATCTTTTTCAAATATCAAGTATGAAAAATATCACTTGGAGAAACAAAGGCATTTTAGTTGACTCTGGATTCCTGCACACAAACTAAATATTGAAGTTAGACATCAGAATATTCTCTTGGACTGTAGATGTTGTCGTGAATGGAATGATAAAGTTGATATTGATGAATTTCATTTCCATTTCAAATGTTCATATAAGAAAAGTTAATAAAAACTCATAGGAACAGAGTTCCACTTTTAAAATAATTCATAAAAATCATTTTACTTTATTCAAACACAATATTCAGGAAAACTTTCACGTTGCTGGTCTAAGGGGAGATCACTCCATGACACGACTTGTTCATGGGATGGTGGTTAACTTCGGCATTCCAAGTTGTATTACAATCACGCCATGCCTGTCTTGTAATGTTATCTTATTGTGACATATCATTGATATAATCGTCCATGTGATCTTAATATCATAAATACCGAGTTGACCTCTGATTTAACTAGAAAATAATAATAAAAAAGTCTAGTGTAGTAGTGATAACTTTGCACAGTAACATTTCGACTTCACTCAATCATTATTATTGATGGGCAGGTTAAAAAGCCATCTATGGAAAGAGAGATTCAGTCAGTATTACAAAGGAATTCAAGAATGCTTAAAAATCAAAAGCACATGTTTGTTATTTAAAGGCATACTTACATCAAATTCGTGATGGAAATTTTCAGCACGTGAAATTGATCACCACCGGAAGTTTACAATGAAAACCGGAAATAATACTTATAGTACTAACGTCAGGATCAGACATACTAGGACCATACTCGAATTGTCATTATCGGTCTCAATCGGCTATCACGCCTAATAATTATAATAATTATAAAGCTTACTGACAAGTATGTGTATTTATATTGATTATGTTTGGTATATCCCTTTAGTGAGGCAACATTCCTATAAAATGTCTTTCTTTGCTGCGGCAGACGGACGGACAGACAGACAGAATATACATTGATATGTCCAATCACATTACAAGAAGCTTTACAACTTTGAAGGAATCCCAAGAATCAATGCAGTTCCCATTGGTAATATTCTTTAGTACAAGGTAAAAAGCTGTATTTTGCATGCTGGTATTTAGTAAGACGATTGATGGGCATGTCGGAAGTAGCAGTCTGGAGGAATGAGTGGAGTTTTCTTTATAGATACGTCGATATGTACGAGGTCGTTTGACGAATTGATTTTGTAGAGAGTAGTGAGCCTTCGATATTTTCTTCTGCCAGATAACGAATGCCATTTTAGGAATTGGGAACCATTTACAGTTTTTCCCCATTGACACAACATACAGGAGAATTGAATGTGGTCTGATGCCATCAACCCGAAACAAATTTCTAAAGGCCATCGGAAGTACAACATTAAACTTCCACTATTTTTATTTAGTCTCTGAGGTAGGCGCTGTTGGTGAACTATTAGTCTCCGAGGTTTGCCAAAACCTGCATGCCATTTTTTTGTCTGTCTGTATGTCAGCCTGTCTGTCTGCCTAACTGCATGTCATGGTCGAAATTATGGGATAAATGAAAATTACAAAATTTATTGAATTATGGACTAGTGCACCTAAACATCGACATATCTTTAGACCATTTTTTAATTTCTCAATTATCTTCGATGTTATTCACATATATTTTCGTTATCTGTGGCAAAACTGAGTCGCTTAACCAAATATTTACGTCAACAAGTTCAAATCATCGTGTCGTAGTCAATCTATCAACAGTCTGATAACAAATTTAATTTGATTTTGTTATATAAATGTTAACTTACCAATATAGCCATATTTAAAAAAAAATATCAATTAAATCTCCGGAAATATTTACATTTACCTGCTGTGTATTTGTATAATTTTTATAACAGAGTTACCATGGGAACTAGCTTCTGTCAAGTGACAACGGTCAAGAGGCAGGCGATATTTTGTTTGTAACGGATGTCTTGCGTAAAATAAAAAAAGGACTGGTTGCAAAGAGACACAAGTTTGTGACCGAGTACTCGGTATGAACTGTTGGGCATGTATAAATGACTATTATTTATTTTCCTCAATCGAGTAATCTTCATAACAAACAATAATTTCTGTAAAGTTAAGGGGCAAAAAAAGCTTAAAAGAGGATTTCGGAACATCTGTAATCTTTGATAATTAAATCTATGGAATATGAAAAAGAAAAGAAAAGCATTTTCGTTAGAACAACCGCATACACAATTTGGAGGGTTGGTTATGTTCACATTAAATAGATAATCATTTAAAGTGTTGCAGGTTTGCTTCGGTACGTCGTTTAGACAAAGTTTCCCAACCAGTTTCAAGATAGAGAGACTGAAGGCAGGTCAGTAAGTGTTTAAGTTTTTTAGCATCGGCAATTGTACATCCGTTCCCTAACTCATTACAGTATTTCAGAAGAGGGAGTATACAAGGTGAGATAATTTCTGTTTTCAAAGTTATGAGATTTAAGGTAAATTTTAACAAACACTTTTAGAAATGTTATCAATATAATAAGTCCTTTTTTTAGTTTACACCCAGGAAAATGCCAAAATGTTTGTGACATTCACTAAAATCAATATCAACATGATCAAAAGCTACATTAATATCCAGCTCATCGTTTGAGATCAGTAGCGCCCCAGTTTATTGTGGAGCACCTCCCGCATGTCGGGTGCTTTCTCTGTTTTCTATTGAGGAGACAACATGGTATCCAGAAGCAGTGTCAGCTGTGTGCCACTCCCTTGTAGTATAGATTGGCTGTCCCTACTTGGGTTCTTGATCATTCTGAGTTTGGTTTCCACTCTTGATGTCCCATGACACCGGTCCTCATATGGCACCGACTGTTGTTAAATCTCCCGAAACAAGAAATTAGATAAGATAATCCGATCCTTTGTTGATGAACATTTTAGAAGGTATAGAGGAAAAAGTAAGATAAAACTGTAATCAAACGAGAGAATACACTGAAGGTTCACAAACTCTTCACAGAAAAGAGTTCCTTCATGTGATGCATTCGTTCTTCAAATCGACAACTTTTTAAAGACTATACAAAAGACACCAGTGAACAGCGCCGTTTAATACACATTTAGTTTGATAGCGTACAGCTAAAAGATGAATTGTACTGCATCATACAGCAGTTTCGTCCTTCCAGGACTCGTCATTGATGCTAATGACAGGTACATGTGAGAGGGACAGATTTCTTGCCCATTTGTGGCATAAGAACCAGCCTTTGTTTTCTCACTCTTGAACTTTGAACCCTTCGATAACATACAGCCTATAAGTTACCGACGTAGGTCCGCCTTACCATCGCAGCTATTGGATATACCTTATAGACCTAAACTTAACACGTGTTTCATTTACACGTGTAAACGATGTGAAATATGTCAATGATAACCAACAGAAACTTAACACATATCTCCTACAAACACGCCCTGCATAGACAATGCACTACCTTTATTGAATTAAAGACACCAATTTACTTACGTCATGTTATACATATGTAAATGTTATATAACAATAAAAAAACTTCTTTTTCTTAAATTAAATTATCAGCTCTAACAGCGAAATATTACTATTGAAACAGTGTGTATCTAGTGTAAATAAACACAACTTCTTAAATCTACAGGAAAAGTCAACATTCCAATTCCTCCGCTGTAGCGAGAATAAATTGCTATGAATTAATAAAAAGTTACTGTAGTACCGCCCTTGAAATAAATTGCTGTGAAGAGCCCGATTAATATGTTTTATCATTGAAATTAAACACTGGAAAAACCCTGAAAAATATCAAAATATCAATATATTGCATAGATATATTGACACGGTCAAAATAAATTGCTGTGAAGAGCCCGATTAATATGTTTTATCATTGAAATTAAAAACTGAAAAAAACCCTGAAAAATATCAATATATTGCTTAGATATATTGACACGGTCAAAATAAATTATTGTGAATAACGTATTAACTGGGCAGATTTGCATTGCCCTGCATGTAAATTTTCACAAGCCTGTTTTGACGGACATTGAAATAACGTTAAGGCGGTGACCCCCAGATTTCAACACGAGTTGATTACTCGTGATTAATACATTAAACAGAACACTTACACAAAAGACTAACGTATGCTGTTATCAATATGTTTGAATCACTAAGGAGGCGGACAAAAGGCCTCTGAGTGGGCTTCAAATATGTTATCTACCGACCACACGAACTTTCATTACGAATCCTTAAATGAAATGGTCACATATGTATTTATTTACAGTGAAAGGACATTGATATAGAGGTTGCTGTGGCACTTCTATTGGTCAGTAGGCTTGCGGTCTGACAGAGGATTATCATCGTGGGGTAAGTCTCTACCTCCTCTCCAAAGAGAGTTCCACTAAAGAAATTTATAAAATATACATTTAAAAAATAATTGATGATAATCTAGGACTTCTCGAATAACTGAATTTCACAGATTTTCAAAAACTTATAAAAGTTCATTTGTTTTTCAATCGTGTTTCTCTGTATATAAAGTGCAGTGTGTATTCATCGAGAACGTCAATTCTAAGTTTGTACTATAATTTGTTAATTTTCACTGAAAAGTTAAAAGAAAATCCCATGGGTTTAATTTCATCCCAATATTCTTAAATATGCTGTGCTTTTTTAAAGTAAACATTTAATCAAGAGTGCATATATATATAATGTTGGGATGATTTTGCCTGTCAAAAATTGTTGACACTTCGAAGGAAGACGAACTGCAGCAAAAACAAATGATATGCACAGTATCATGTAACATTGAGTTAACCGTAGTAGTAACATTTCAGTAGTGTCCTAACTTAACACAGGTTTAAGAAACCGTTTTCCAGGTAGCAAATACTCTCATCTCTAACACAAACCACAAGAGTCGACGAGCATGAATATATTATAAAGTACATAAAACCCTTGCATAAGCACAAATCCCAGCAATTTATGGGTAAAGTAGCATACAGCCTTAACTCTATCACAAACCACAGGAATCTCTATATAAGGAACTAAACAGCATTGGTACAATCTGATACAATCCACATCAGTTTATGTATAGGGTAGAATACATGTATAAGCTTAATTCTCTCACAAACCAAGGGAATATATGTGAAAGGTAGCATACAACCTTAACTCTATCACAGACAACAGGAATATTTGTGTAAGGTAGCATATAACGCTTATTCTCTCACAAACCACAGGTATATTTGTGTAAGGTAGCATATAACCTTAATTCTAGCACAAACCACAGGGATAGCTGTGTATGGTAGCATATAGCCTTGATTCTGTCACAATCCGCGGGGATATTTGTATAAGGTAGCATATAACCTTAATTCTGTCACAATCCGCGGGGATATTTGTATAAGGTAGCATATAACCTTAATGCTATCACAAACCACAGGTATATTTGTGTAAGGTAGCATATAACCTTAATTCTATCACAAACCACAGGAATATTTGTGTAAGGTAGCATATAGCCTTGATTCTGTCACAATCCGCGGGGATATTTGTGTAAGGTAGCATATAACCTTAATGCTAACACAAATCAACAGGTTTAATGTGTAAGGTAGCATATAACTTAATTCTGTCACAATCCGCGGGGATATTTGTGTAAGGAATATTTGTGTAAGGTAGCATATAACCTTAATTCTGTCACAATCCGCGGGGATATTTGTATAAGGTAGCATATAACCTTAATTCTATCACAAACCACAGGAATATTTGTGTAAGGTAGCATATAGCCTTGATTCTGTCACAATCCGCGGGGATATTTGTGTAAGGTAGCATATAACCTTAATGCTATCACAAACCACAGGTATATTTGTGTAAGGTAGCATATAACCTTAATTCTGTCACAATCCGCGGGGATATTTGTATAAGGTAGCATATAACCTTAATTCTGTCACAATCCGCGGGGATATTTGTATAAGGTAGCATATAACCTTAATTCTATCACAAACCACAGGAATATTTGTGTAAGGTAGCATATAACGTTTATTCTCTCACAAACCACAGGAATATTTGTGTAAGGTAGCATATAACGTTTATTCTCTCACAAACCACAGGAATATTTGTGTAAGGTAGCATATAACGTTTATTCTCTCACAAACCACAGGAATATTTGTATAAGGTAGCATATAACCTTAATTCTATCACAAACCACAGGAATATTTGTGTAAGGTAGCATATAGCCTTGATTCTGTCACAATCCGCGGGGATATTTGTATAAGGTAGCATATAACCTTAATTATATCACAAACCACAGGAATATTTGTGTAAGATTGTAAATGTAACCTTTACTTTACCAAGGTTCGCAGAGATTAGTTTAAATTAAAAATTAGTTTCATTTATTTTTTACATATTACTTATCTAACTGCTCGTAATTAAGGGAGATAACTAAATAGTTAGACACTTATATTAGAACCCAATAACCATTTTTATGTTAAATTGACAAAGCGTGATTCGGAAAGAAATGATGCACGTTATTACAATATTTTCATTTCTTAGGTTATTGGAAATTCATATGTCCATGACCATGTGTTCGTCATTGACCTTGCTCTGTGTGACCTTAACCTTAGGCTCTGCCCTGTCGGCGAGTGTTGTTGATTCTGGTTCTAACACTCTGCTCGGTACGGATCAACTCCCGGATTCCCAAGGTGGCAACGGTATGTACGAAATATGCGTTTTCACGGAAAAATCCGAATGACGAAACGGAAAACCCCAAATGGGTGTTGATATTGATATTTCTCTGCAGATTGTTTTTATATATAAAGTTTAACGTATATTATTGATGTAACAATAATTCTTTCTAAGTTTTGTTTCAACATTTCTTTCAACTAGTTTTGCTATTTCTCAGTCGCCACATCGACCACTTTTTCACATTTTCCTCACTCGCCTCATACACTTCAAAATCTAGGCCGGTAGCATTAATGACGAGTTCCAGAAGGACGAAACAGATTTAAAATCTTCCTTTTGTGCAATTTAGAAATCACAGATACTCGTGTTTATTTATTATGGAATTGCTTCACGTGCTTAGAAAGTATATAAGATTTTATTTAAAGCAGCAATAACTTACTTGAAAGAAGAGTGTGTCATTTTGGTTACTACCACAATCTAGATCATCTGACGTTATGTGTTACAACAGCTATCATCAATTATATCAATATTTTGTCTGATTTCAGGATCGTTATGTTTAAATACATATAATACAATGTACTTAATATCAACCTAAATACAAATTGTCATTTGTTAGGAATTTTTTTCTCGTGTTTGTTAAAGTGTAAGTTATACATGTACAGACTTATGATACATATCAAAAGTCCATAAGTAAGTTATCATATTTCATTGTATCTTCTTTTTTATTTTTGTAGATGGAAACTTTAAGGTAATGTTACTTTATTGTTTGGTAGTTGTGATAAATGGTGTGGGTGCCATATTCATAATACATACTATATATATGTGTGATAACTTAAAACTTGTCTACATTTCAACCTAAACAAGACGGATTTCTAAACGACTTAATTGCAATATTATAAAACAAGATTTGAGCTGCAAGTCCTTCTATCTCGTTATTACGACAAGGTAATGTTGTTTATTTTCAGTACCCTGTGCGTAACCCCGGAGTCAGTGATGCGGACAAGAAGGTCATCGTTGACATGCATAACCGCTACAGAAGAATTATAGGCCATGACGCTGCCAACATGATGAAAGTCGTACGTACAGTGTCTGTCTTTGTTATTTATAGTTATAAGTAAGGGTTACGCTGAATTTTAGATACATTTTTCTTTTTTTTTTAATGAAAACTACAATATTCACGGTAGATCGCCCGTAATTAAGGATAGGTTTCGCTGAATCTCAGATATCATTTTTTGTTTTAGATTTTGTTTTTCTGAAAACAACAATATTCACGATAGATTTACCGAATATATGGACGTATCAAGTGAAAGAACGAATGTAATAAGGACAGATTTCGCTGAATTTTTAGATATTTTTTACTGAAGACTACAATACTCACGATGGATCGCCTGTAAATATGGACGTATCAAGTATCAAATGTATTTGTGTATATAACGTTACAGTTAGTTCATTCACTCGTGTTGGTATGTCGTATTTATTAAGGGTGGGTAGAGGTAGAAGATTTTTAATTCTTTAATCCATATTCAGCATTACTTCACTGTTTTAAATTATAAATCTAGACACAATAAAATCTGATATATGTTTTCATGGAAAAGGGAAGCTGAAAATAGCACGGAAGCACTTTTTCATCAATATCAGTTAATGGTTTTTCAGCAAAACGTTTGAAGTTAGCTTTTTGATAGTGACTGATGATAATCTGTGATAAAATGAATATAAAATTAACTTTCGGTTTGTTTTGATTATCGGTGGATAACTACAATTGATTTAGTGTTAACTACTAACTGTCGAGTTATATCAAACTTTACGGAGTTCTACTTCCTGGAAACTATTCTTATTAATGTATAATAACAATGATCGTACAAAGGTTATTTAGTCAATTGCAACGGTAACTGTAAAATGTATTTCTGTAAACAAGACAGCAATATAATTTTGAAGTTTACAGACAAAATTTTTAAACTGGGAAGATGTGTTTAAATCTTATTTTTTTCCCTCCGTATGTTTTCTTTCCAACTTATGTTATAATGTGGAATTACAATGCTACTGCATTCTCCCGCCTGTAATACGTTAATGTAAAAATTCATTTTTTTCTTCAGAGTTGGGACGATGACATTGCCCGATCTGCCCAAAAACATGCAGAAACATGCAGCTTTCATCACGATCCGCTAGCTAATCGGTGGATTAGTGGTGAGTACATGTCATATCTTCGGTCATCTTAAGGAATGAGCTTGGTAGAAATAGACATTTTCAGATATTCAAATATCAATATAGGAGTCATTAATTCAGAAATAATTAGAGAAAACAAAGTGAATCTTGGAAGAATTTTTTTTTTTTTTTCATTTTTGTCATTAGAAATAAACATCCATCATTAAATATTCTGCTACAATGTTCGTGTTGGTTTTCGAGGTTATCTCCCCTTAATCATAGTTCCGATAGTTGTGTTTTCATTATCAGTTTTTTATTTCAAGTTTTGTGTTTTTTTGTAATAGATCGTAAATCTAATTTTGCGCAAAGTTAAAATTTAGAAAGAACACATAAATGACACCCTAACCCACTCATCGTTTACAGAACATTTGTTCGTTTATTGATGTAGGATACTTTGTGAAGAGAATGTGATAACATAGAAATCATAGAGCATCGAGATATATTAGTGTCCATAATACATGTTTGTTAGTTTCCATGGTAAAACTGCTATTTTTATTGCTATGAAGAAAGTTTCGCTTTTATCATGGCGCATTACATGATGTAAATGTATTTCCGGTTCCTTTAGGTTTACCAGGGGTATATGTAATGTATTTCCGGTTCCTTTAGGTTTACCTGGGGTATATGTAATGTATTTACGATTCATTTAAGGTTTACCCGGGGTGTACATTGGACAGAACATGTGTGCCGGAAACCAGGACTGGCAGGAATGTATTGATGCTTGGTATAAGGAGAAAGACAACTACCAATACGGAGAGGGCGCGAAAACTTTGTCATGGAATGAAATAGGTCACTATACTCAGGTACTGTATTATACAGGTATTTTCTGTATGTACTAATTAACATATACAGACCAGAAATAAAGAGACGGATTTTGTATAGAATGAAAAGTTATGAACCATGGCAAAGTCATTTAGAGCGAGCATAGTATTATCACTAAGGTATTTCAAGATGATTTAATTTTGGTAAACAAATGTGACAAAATCTTTTGTATTTATTGTTGTATTGATTAAATATGTTAAATAATAATTATATTTTTATTAAACCTAATGTTTAAGAAACGCTTTCTTCCTTGAATATTGTATTTATTGTGTTCCTAACCAGTTCATGCTGTTCGGTGTTTTCTACTTTTTCCTTTCGGACAATCTCTGTAGGATATAAATTGCTTAGTCTCGTTCAGCCAAACCCTTGTTGTCTGCTCAAGTGATTGAGCGTCTAGGTGACTGAGTCTGTTTCATATGTCCGCCATGTTGCTATTCGCCGTTAGTGCATAGCATTACATATATTTCCACTTACGTCTCACAGTTTCATGACTGATAGTAGGCGTGAAAATTTTCACTTTTTTCTTCGCATGTGTTACACCAAGGGCTTGCTTTACAAGCGGCCCCAGCTGGGCAATAGTGCCTAGAGCAGATCGACCTCGAATTTACGGTCCATTTTCTAAATGCTTCCTAAATGCCATAATAACACGTACTACCAGCTGTTTTTAATCAAGTTTTTTGACTTTATCGATTTTCGGAATGTATCGTATCTAATGATTGGCTTTCTCTCTGCAATAGTGACCATCCCCTTTGTATTTAGGTACCTATATATCGCACATAGTTTGGCATAGACTAATAAAGAACTGACAACACAAGTACGGAAATTTCCTGTAGAATGTGTTGTATCTACAAAGCTACTCACATTAGTTGCATTAGAAAATCGTGTTGTATTCGCAAAGATCCTCACATTAAAGATCGCGATGTACCCACAAAGATCTTCACATTGCAGCGCGTCAGAAGATCCTGACAGACGCCGCCTGTGAAGATCATGCTGTATCCACTAAGGTCCTTACAAAGGTGACCTTAGAATTGTATCAACTAAGAACATAACAGAGGATGTTGAGGGGTAGAGGATGTTGAGGAGTAGAGGATGTTGTGGGGTAGAGGATATTGAGGAGTAGAGGATGTTGTGGGGTAGAGGATGTTGAGGAATAGAGGATGTTGTGGGGTAGAGCATGTTGAGGAGTAGAGGATGTTGAGAAGTAGAAGATGTTGTGAGGTAGAGGATGTTGTGAGGTAGAGGATGTTGCGGAGTAGAGGGTGTTGTGGGGTAGAGGATGTTGAGGAGTAGAGGATGTTGAAGAGTAGAGGATGTTGTGGGGTAGAGGATGTTGTGAGGTAGAGCAAGTTGAGGGGTAGAGGATGCTGAGGAGTAGAGGATGTTGTGGGGTAGAGGATGTTGAGGAGGAGAGGATGTTGTGGGGTAGAGCATGTTGAGGAGTAGAGGATGTTGTGGGGTAGAGGATGTTGTGGGGTAGAGGATGTTGTGGGGTAGAGGATGTTGTGGGGTAGAGGATGTTGAGGAGTAGGGGATGTTGTGGGGTAGAGGATGTTGTGGGGTAGAGCATGTTGAGGAGTAGAGGATGTTGTGGGGTAGAGGATGTTGAGGAGTAAAACATGTTGACGAGTAGAGGATGTTGTGGGGTAGAGGATGTTGTGAGGTAGAGCATGTTGAGGAGTAGAGGATGTTGTGGGGTAGAGGATGTTGAGGAATAGAGGATGTTATGGGGTAGAGGATGTTGTGGTGTAGAGCATGTTGACGAGTAGAGGATGTTGTGGGGTAGAGGATGTTATGGGGTAGAGGATGTTGTGAGGTAGAGGATGTTGTGGGGCAGAGGATGTTGAGGAGAAGAGGATGTTGTGGGGTAAAGCATGTTTAGGAGTAGAGAATGTGGGGCAGAGGATGTTGAGGAGTAGGGGATGTTGTGGGGTAGAGGATGTTGTGGGGCAGAGGATGTTGTGGGATAGAGGAAGTTGAGGGGTAGAGGATGTTGAGGGGTAGATGATGTTGTGGGGCAGAGGATGTTGTGGGGTAGAGGATGTTGTGGGGCAGAGGATGTTGTGGGGCAGAGGATGTTGAAGAGTAGGGGATGTTGTGGGGTAGAGGATGTTGTGGGGTAGAGGATGTAGAGGATGTTGTGGGATAGAGGAAGTTGAGGGGTAGGGGATGTTGAGGGGTAGATGATGTTGAGGAGTAGAGGTAGAAAAACGCTTTGTAATAATTAAGGAAATTTGTTGTTTGAATATATCCATACGTTCACAACAATTTTTGTATCAGGTCTTTTACTCGAATTTCGGCTACAAATGAACTTATTGTTGTAGATGTGGTTGATCTTGTTCACAACCAAATTGTTTATGTTTTTTAAGATAATAGACCTTTTTTTATCATGAAGTAAAACATAAATGAAAATTTCAGACCAAAGTTCGCGATATAGAGAGATTATGTCTGATTACACTATAGATATTTATACATAAACTGTTCGTTCGAGATGTACTTAACGTTTTAATCCGAAAACCATTTTTTTATTGCCGACTTAGATACTTCATTTGGATAAATTATATTCATTTTCGTAATGGAAAAAAATCTTTAATAAATGTCGTAGTTTTCAACTTCGATAGTATTTATTTGTTTTATCATTCACGGATAAAAGTAAACAAAGAACAAAGATGTAGATAGAAATTTGAAGAAATTTGGATCGATTTTTCTGAGTGTTACGCAATGCGACACATTCAATACGAGTTCCCGTTTACGGTCGGGGATTAGAGTTTATCACTTATCGTTCCGTAAGAAACATGCTGATGTGTAATTTTCCTCTTTAAGAGAAACAAAGACTATTTATCGAGATAATCGTTAATATGTAAGTGCCATACTTTCGATTTGTCAGGCGGGAAATGAGGCAAAACTTTATAACTGATATACGTGGAAGTCAGTTTGGTGTAAGAGATGACCGCAGACGCAACTCCGTCCAGATTTAATCACCCAAAACTGCCGACTGTACTATACATCATCAACACTGATCGAACACATTGCGCGCTAACGTGAACAATTCTCGCACCTCGCGACTCGCGCTTTCTTGGTTTCCGGGGAGTAATTACTCCCCTATGATCTTCTCCCCTTATCTGTCGTCCTTTCTGTCCTTGGCAATGACGCCTCTAGATTTCTGATCGTATTTGTTGCCGGAAACATCAACAACCTATACCTTCTAAGCGATTAATAAAGATTAATTGAAACACATATGTTGTTAACGCTAGAGCTCGGCGGATTTCTCAGATCACGGCGAAGTAACATTTGGCGGTAATGAGGCTCAATTTGACAGCTCTGTCTGGTTTAATGTAAAAAGTAACCACTGTTAGCAATACTGGTCGGTAATGACAAACCAGATGGCGTGTTTCAACTGTACTTTTGAGACAATTTATGGGTTAGGTAACGGCTAGACAAAGTGATTAAGCATCAGCGGTCATGTATGAGTTTCTATGGAATATATCTTACTGAGATCACACCCAATCCCCACAAAAGGAGAAATTTAGTTTTAACGAAATGGTTCTAGAGCAATAATCAAGAAACGTATATAAAATATATAAATCTGTACCGCAAACTATTTATATGAGGTAACTGACAAATTGACAATCCATATTTCCAATGATGACCATTGAATGTCAAAAGGGTAACATTTTTACCAAATATTGATCTACGCCCCCTCCCACCCCCTAAAAAAAAAAAAAAGAAAAAGAAACAGGGTAGAGCCATATTCACTCGGATGATTACAATCACCTTATACTCCCGATTTAAACATATTGATGATAATCGTTTTCCTAGCTTGCTACCTGGCATGTTTCTCGTATTGGCTGTGGATACGCCGAGTGTGAGGGAAGGAAGGACCGGACGTCTTTTGTTTGTAACTACGCGTATGGGTAAGTAAACAAGAACCTTAAACACCCAAGGGTTCCGCGGTCGATATGTAAAAAGGGATTACATCGAGAGCTGGGTACTAAGGTCAAGACACAGTCTTTAATATAGATATAAGATAAAGGTTCATGGTTAAAGGACGTACTTAAATATAGATATCTGATGAAGGTCCATGGTTAAAGACGTATAATATTGTAACTGGAACCCTTTGTTTTGGAAAATGACTGTCACGTCTATGTAGTCAATGTTTCGTGATACATCATGAAATATGTCCCTTTTTTGCTTCACCTGAAAGGTTTATGTCGTAAATGTCGCTTCCTTATCATTACTTCCAGTAAACAATGACAGTTTTCCTGTGACAGCCAAATGTCGCTTCCTTATCATTACTTCCTGTAAACAATGCCATTTTGCCTGTTACAGCCAAATGTCGCTTCCTTATCATTACTTCCTGTAAACAATGCCATTTTGCCTGGTACAGCCAAATGTCGCTTCCTTATCATTACTTCCTGTAAACAATGACAGTTTTCCTGTTACAGCCAAATGTCGCTTCCTTATCATTACTTATTACTTCCTGTAAACATTGCCATTTTTCCTGTTACAGCCAAATGTCGCTTCCTTATCATTACTTATTACTTCCTGTAAACATTGCCATTTTTCCTGTTACAGCCAAATGTCGCTTCCTTATCATTACTTCCTGTAAACAATGACAGTTATCCTGTTACAGCCAAATGTCGCTTCCTTATCATTACTTCCTGTAAACAATGCCATTTTTCCTGTTACAGCCAAATGTCGCTTCCTTATCATTACTTCCTGTAAAAACAATGACAGTTTTCCTGTTACAGCCAAATGTCGCTTCCTTATCATTACTTCCAGTAAACAATGACAGTTTTCCTGTTACAGCCAAATGTCGCTTCCTTATCATTACTTCCTGTAAACATTGACAGTTTTCCTGTTACAGCCAAATGTCGCTTCCTTATCATTACTTATTACTTCCTGTAAACATTGCCATTTTTCCTGTTACAGCCAAATGTCGCTTCCTTATCATTACTTCCTGTAAACAATGCCATTTTTCCTGTTACAGCCAAATGTCGCTTCCTTATCATTACTTCCTGTAAACAATGACAGTTTTCCTGTTACAGCCAAATGTCGCTTCCTTATCATTACTTCCTGTAAACAATGACAGTTTTCCTGTTACAGCCAAATGTCGCTTCCTTATCATTACTTCCTGTAAACAATGACAGTTTTCCTGTTACAGCCAAATGTCGCTTCCTTATCATTACTTCCTGTAAACAATGCCATTTTGCCTGTTACAGCCAAATGTCGCTTCCTTATCATTACTTCCTGTAAACAATGACAGTTTTCCTGTTACAGCCAAATGTCGCTTCCTTATCATTTGTTCCTGTAAACAATGACAGTTTTCCTGTTACAGCCAAATGTCGCTTCCTTATCATTACTTCCTGTAAACAATGACAGTTTTCCTGTTACAGCCAAATGTCGCTTCCATATCATTACTTCCTGTAAACAATGACAGTTTTCCTGTTACAGCCAAATGTCGCTTCCATATCATTACTTCCTGTAAACAATGACAGTTTTCCTGTTACAGCCAAATGTCGCTTCCTTATCATTACTTCCTGTAAGCAATCCCAGTTTTCCTGTTACAGCCAGTTTTATGACGATGTTCTTCGCCCATTCCTGAACGGAACTTCATGTGGCGCGTGTCCAAACACATGTGATAATGGATTATGTGGTAAGTTGAGAGAAAATGAAAGTGTTAGTTGCATGCATGGGATTTTCTTTTCAAATTTGTTAGTGGGATTTAGAACATATGTAAAACATGATTTCCGTATATCATATGGTCGGGGTGCGCAATCGTCATACCCGATTGGACATGGGTTCTATTAGGGTCCCTGATACTGTGGTTTCCTTCCACAACATGTCCTTAGCGTCCAGACCCACAAGAGTCATACTAAATGTAAAGGGTAACATGGAGCAACAGGTGTTCACGTTGTTGTTTTCCCGGGACTGTTCAGTACAGTAACAACGAACAAAATATTGACAAGTAAATATAATCTTAATTCAGAGTAGATTTCGATGAAAAAAGAAGAAAATATGAACAAAAGAAAGATAAACATGGACTACATGGAAAAAAGTACGAAGACAATTAGACCAGGTGTTCCAGAAGGATGACAGTCATAGACAACACCCGTCATATAAATCTTGCTTGGTCCAGTGAAGATAGTATTTCTATGATGGGGACAACTTCACAAATATATATTTTCATGTCAAAGTTTCTCACTAACACAACAACTGACAACATTTTAATTCACATTTAAATATTTCATTTATCATTGCAACTAGAACCACCATTGTCAGAATATTCCTGCCAAGTTTTTTACTGTATTTGGCAGTGATGTTTTATAGCACGTGCGGTAATTCGTCAGAATCCCTTTCTGAGCTTACTTAAAAAATAAATTTAATAATATAAATAACTGTTGTAATTACTTATTTCATATGTTGTAATAAACAAATTTATTTAACGAAATTCATAAAATCGCTGTCATATCCCTTGACGTTGAGAACTATATTTCTGCACAGAAAAATTATTTTGGTGTACGTCTTTAAACAAAATTCAGCGTAATGTCAGGTAAACACAGATTTAACAACAAAAATGTTGAAGTTTTGATGGTCTGATTTTGAATAATTGTTTCTGGATAAATAGAATTCATGGCCAATGTCTTAAATATAAGCTGCACTATGGCGAGGTAAAGGAAGATAAAAGTAGCTCTCCACTTTTGTCTTTGGTTTAAACCATATTTCTTATTCAGTATCCAACAGTACAACACATACATATGGTACTTATAGGATGAGAAAACAAGCTGAGTGCTTACATTGATTCCTTTCCCAAGTACGTGTAAAAGCGAATGAATCTTCAGAGCTGCAAGCACCTTACTTGTCTTTCTTCACACTCGCCAAAATACAGCTTATATTTTCAGAAACAAACATGTATTCTCGCTATATGTGTTATATATGATGATCTAGAACCACCTAAGCACCATATTTATGTTACAATATTGATGTTTATAAGAAAACACCTCGACACTTACTTCCATCACGTCAGGTTTTATTGTAAATAATTTTGCAGTACATACACTTCTGTAACAACTAGAGTTATAAAACTAGCATTGCTTTGTACAATTTCTGATGCAGCAGTACACGGCTTGTCGATATAAATTCTAATTTCTCACTAACTTTCTTTAGTCTGGAGCATACGGAATCTATTATACATACGATCAACTCTTATTGTGACATGTACACTTTAATGTATACGTAAATATATGTGTCTGTAAAAAAGTCGAAACGAACGGAAGGAACCATCAATTCTAATGCTGGCTGAAGTTCGTAATGTTCTTTTCAAGATTGCAAAGAATGTCGAATCCCTCTTTGATTCCAGTCAGTCATGAAAGATCACATCTTAGCATGTACATGAACAAAACACTCAATATGCTAGCTGGGATTGAATTCAGAATTTTCTCACACAAAATGTTTTTTGTACTCCAGTATTTCCTTCACATTCTACACACACACTGGACGGTCTTCTGAAATTCTGAAGTCATCGATCAGATACATAAAACTATATATTTAAAACGTGGGAGATTTGTTGTCATCGGAAGTGATTAAGTAATAAAACCTTCTACTTTCCAGTTTTAATATATTACTGATATACAAAATTTCAGATTGTGGTGGAAAGATTTGCAACAATTTTGGAACATTGGATTTGAACACGTGTACATGCTCGTGCCTGAAGTTTTACACTGGTGACACGTGTCAGACTAGTAAGTCAGACCCCTGGAGGATTTATAGAAAATAGGATTGAAACGACATTAAATTTAAATTTTCGATACAGAAATATTTTTTAAAGAATTTGTACACTTTTGATAAAACTATTAAATATTACACGTGAGAAAGGCGAATAATGGAAAATATTTGATTTCAGAAGATAATAGAACATATCTGCTTTCAATAAGGCGAAAGTTTACGATAGTCGAAATCTGAGATTTCCAAAAGATCTGGAACATGCCATGATCAGGAATCACCACTAACTGTACCTTGTAATATCTGTAGAGTCTTTTGTTATAAGGAGGATTTAGACTACCTTAAGATATCTTAAACATAATGATATTATATCCGTTTCATTTTTAGATATGATAACATATTCAGATCTACGTCTTATCATATGACCCTGTGGCATGCTATACAAGTATAGAATTAACACGTAACTAACATTACATATGATTAATGTTTGACAATATTTTGGAACAAGATTTCTATATTTTTTTATTTATGCCAATTTTTGTTTACCGAAAAACTTTAAAAAAACATCCTCACAATTACAGATTTCACATTTTTACCAGTAGTTTTTCAAAAGTGTGTGTAGCAAACATCAGAAAGATCATTGACATAGATACAAATGAGAGGCAAATATTGCCATTAAGAATCATGGACAACAATAAACAATTTCTAAAGTCATACAACGTCTGTAATAGTAATAAAATTGAATATCGGTTATTTCAACAAAGGTAAATCAAACATCCATAAAACGGAATTTAAACATGTATATATAATTGGTGTTTTGCTATAGAAAATAAGAAGATAATATGAACGGATCGGATGTTGCAACCTAGAAATAGGAAAGTTTAGATCGCGATTGGAGACAACATAAATGTACTGCATCTTATTTCATTGTCGAAAATTGTTAAACGCATCTGTATAGTGTTACGCCAAGATGTTCTAAAAACTTGCTGTACTTGTGTCTTTATAAAGATTATAAAAACAACTGATTGAATAGTTTCTTTTATTCTGTTAAATCATGTATTTGTTTAAAGGAGTGAATAGCATTTTACATAAATCAAGCTTAAGTCATAAGCTGCAGTCTAGATAATGACTATGCGAACAGGAATTTTGATTGACTTTGTATGTTCAAGAAGATAAATACATTTCTTTCTTTTTTTCTCCTCTCAGCTTTGTGCAGTGTGACTGAACATACGTCGTGCTCACGTCACGCCAAAGACGAATGTACCAACGGTGTCAACATCGCGGCATTGTGTCCTCATCACTGCGGCCGTTGCTAAGCAGTATGCACTTCCGGTCCTGTTTTGTTGTCTCCGGTCACCTGACATTAGTAACCAGTAGCTGTATAGTTTGTTTATTGATGTGATAACGACGTGAAGTATCACAAACTGATTCGTCGAACTTTTGATTCCGCCATTGTTTTTACCAGCGTTCATAAACATTTCTCTATCGCATGTCTGTGATATGTTATTCGGGTAGTATATTTTTCATTCTTTGACTCAGGTTATTGCAGGGTTACCTGGTAACGGGCATTATCTAAGTAGTCATGCAATGTTATTTAAAACTGATTTTATTTCGACAATATATACATGCACTAAGAAATCCTGAATGAAAAAACGATCATTATAGAAAGGAATTTTATTTTGTATATCATTAAACGCATATTACAAAACCATTTGTGTGGGTTTTTTGGTTATAAAACGTCATATACGATCCGATTCAGTATTATCAACACAGTATTCCGATACTTATGATATATCAACAATATTAATTCCAACTCTCCATCTTGTTCACACTGGACCATACTGGACCACACTGGACACTGAAAAAACGCGGTTATGTCTCTCTTCAGCAAAATCAACACGAGAGTGTTTGCCGCCTGCCACTTCTCGTGTAGCATATGATTACACGTGATTAGGTCATGTCAGATGAGATTAAACAACAATGACGTGTCAAGTTAAGGGACATGTTTCCACAACAATGACGTGTTAAGTTAATGAATCTATTTCCTCAACACCGACGTGTAAAGTTGAGGGACATGTTTCCACAACAACGACGTGTAAAGTTAAGGGACATGTTTCCACAACAACGACGTGTAAAGTTAAGGGACATGTTTCCACAACAACGATTTGTAAAGTTAAGGGACATGTTTCCACAACAATGACGTGTTAAGTTAAGGGATCTGTTTCCTCAACACCGGCGTGTAAAGTTGAGGGACATGTTTCCACAACAATGACGTGTAAATTTAAGGGATATGTTTCCTCCACAATGACATGTAAAGTTAAGGGATTTTGGACTTACAAATAACAGTATTATCATAACATTATCCCCTTCTGTGGAGGGAACTCTTTATGTCGATGACTTCATGATGTGCTATCGATCTTAGCATATGAATCCCATCGAAAGACAACTACAACAGTGTTTGAATCGACTACAAATTTGGGCAGATGAAAATGGATTTAAGTTTTCACAATCGGAAACAGTTTACATGCATTTTTGTGAAAAGCGGAAACAACACGAAATCTATCTCTTTGTGGTGTACCCATTCCGGTTGTTGAGCAAACCAAATTCTTATGTGTAATATTCAATAGGAAATTATCGTTCCTACCACATATATAATACTTTAAAGCCAAATGCGTTAAGGCACTGAATATCCTAAAGATGGTGTCCCATACAAGTTGGGGAGCTGATAGAAAAGTTTTGCTAAGACTTTATAGAGTTCTCATTAGATCAAATTTAGACTACGGTGCCACTGTGTATGGATCTGCTAGACCTTTACATATCAAATTATTGGATACTGTTCATCACCAAGGTCTGAGGCTTTAAGACCACACCTACAGCAAGCCTCTATGTAGAGGCTAACGAACCATCACTATACAGCCGTCGGAATAAATTGGCTTTGCAATACACCATTCAGCTAAAGTTAAATCCTACAAATCCTGCTTTTTCATTTATATTTGATTCAAAATATAAAATCTTGTTTCAAACAAACCAAAGACTATTCCGTCATTCGGTATTCTGATTACCGCTCTTTTGCAAAACACAAATATTGATATTGACTAAACTCAGTCATTTGGAACGAAAGAAATTCCACACTGGCACTTGAATAACCTGAAGCTGACCTTTCACTTAATGAAATGGTTAAATCAGACACTGACAGTTGCACATACCGTTCATGATTCTGGAAATTGCAGTTAAAAAATATATATAATTCCTACATTTATATACTGATGGTTCAAAAGATAATAATGAGGTTATCGCAGCCATGGTCACACAAGATGAAGCCTATGGTTGCCTGCTACCGAACAACGCCTCAATATTATCGGCGGAAGCGCGAGAAATTTACCTCGCCCTTTAATATATTCAAACAAACAAAATAATGAGAGCTGTTATCCATTCAGACTCTCTTTCTGCACTACAAAGTCTTAGCAATAGAAATATCGAATATGTTTTCCTTCGTAATACATTAATACTATATCATGAACTTGCCTTTCACTTTCCTATTGCTTTTTGCTTGGTTCCTGGGCACATGGGAATACCAGGCAATGACAAAGTAATGCTTAATAGCTCAGTGGCAGGAAGAATGGAATCAATATACCAATAATAAACTGGACTCCGTAAAATCTATCATCAGTGAATGGTCTGCATGCTATAGAGACAACACCCAAATGAAGTTGTCCTTGCCCGTCTTTGGATGGGCCATACATATCTTACGCATTCATATATGTTGAAAGGTTAAGATAATCCTCTGTGCGGAAGATGTGATGAGCCATTCACCGTTAAACTTTTTTATTGGACTGCATCGACCTTCTGTCTACTCGAAACATTTTTCGTCTGAAGACCCTTTTTGAAACTGTTGAGATATATACAATTCAATGTTATCTGAAAGATGTTGGTCGTTATTATCGACTATGATTTACCATTTAAATTTTTCAGCATTTACCTTTTAGTTTGTTTGATGTTATTTCCTTTTTGGATCGCTGTATGTTACACTGGTTAATGACCCTAATGACCTTTTATGTGCTAACGGGCCGTTAAGACTGTAATAATGATAATAAATAATCATTCTGTGGATCACAACATACCATTCAGCCTATTGAAACATAACATAAATCTGTACACGATAGTAGTGCCAAATTGCTGAGAATTCTTAGAGGAAGTTCTCAATAAAAGCATGGTTAACATAAAACTAAAATCCAATACCTATATAAAGACATATAATATCTTACACAAATACTCCTTTTGTTTGTATGAATGTAGATTGACACATATTCACACCTACGCAGATACATACCTCAGCATTACACATGGTGATACTAGCGACACTTCAGCAATAACTTACTTTGGTACGATGTACAGTACAGGCAGCGACTCCGTGATAATTAAATTTTCATTTTGTAGCCACTATACAATGGAGAATGTGTAATATGTATCTGGAAATGTTTTTTCTAAACATTTAAATATTTGAGTAGTTGTTTCTAATTAAGCGACCTATATTTGTGTGATTGTTGTCTAATTAAGCGACCTATATGTGCGTGATTGTTGTCTAATTAAGCGACCTATATGTGCGTGATTGTTGTCTAATTAAGCGACCTATATGTGCGTGATTGTTGTCTAATTAAGCGACCTATATTTGTGTGCGAGATTGTTGTCTAATTAAGCGACCTATATTTGTGTGCGTGATTGTTGTCTAATTAAGCGACCTATATGTGCGTGATAGTTGTCTAATTAAGCGACCTATATTTGTGTGCATGTTGTCTAATTAAGCGACCTATATTTGTGTGGTTGTTGTCTAATTAAGCGACCTATATTTGTGTGGTTGTTGTCTAATTAAGCGACCTATATTTGTGTGCGTGTTGTCTAATTAAGCGACCTATATTTGTGTGGTTGTTGTCTAATTAAGCGACCTATATTTGTGTGGTTGTTGTCTAATTAAGCGACCTATATTTGTGTGGTTGTTGTCTAATTAAGCGACCTACATCTATGTGGTTGTTGTCTAATTAAGCGATCTATATTTGTGTGCATGTTGTCTAATTAAGCGACATATATGTGCGTGATTGTTGTCTAATTAAGCGACCTATATTTGTGTGCATGTTGTGTAATTAAGCGACCTACATTTGTGTGCTTGTCTAATTAAGCGACCTATATTTGTGTGCATGTTGTCTAATTAAGCGACCTATATTTGTGTGCATGTTGTCTAATTAAGCGACCTATATTTGTGTGCATGTCTCATTCAGCGACCTATATCTATGTGGTTGTTGTCTAATTAAGCGACCTATATCTATGTGGTTGTTGTCTAATTAAGCGACCTATATTTGTGTGCTTGTTGTCTAATTAAGCGACCTATATTTGTGTGCATGTTGTCTAATTAAGCGACCTATATTTGTGTGCATGTTGTCTAATTAAGCGACCTATATTTGTGTGCATGTTGTGTAATTAAGCGACCTATATTTGTGTGCTTGTTTAATTAAGCGACCTATATTTGTGGTTGTTGTCTATGCTAATTAAGCGACCTATTTTGTGTTGTTGTCAATGTCAGCGAACTATATTTGTATGGTTGTTGTCACTATATTTGTGTGGTTGTTGTCTAATTAAGCGACCTATATCTATGTGGTTGTTGTCTAATTAAGCGACCTATATCTATGTGGTTGTTGTCTAATTAAGCGACCTATATTTGTGTGGTTGTTGTCTAATTAAGCGACCTATATCTATGTGGTTGTTGTATTTATTTGCATGGTTGTTTAATTACATTGTGTTGTTATAACTATGATTGCACATTATTTCTGTGTATCTAACGCAGTGCTATCATTTGCTTCCTCTTAGCAAATGTCTTCCCATAGACCGCGTTAAGAAAGCTAATCTGTAACAGCAAACACATCCATGTTACACTCTTTCATTGCTACTAACACATTTTCAGTGCCGCGTTGTCTCTTGAATTCCCCATCTAGACTGTCGACAGATCTCTGAATGCCTGTTATCAATTTCGGACCTTGGAAATGTATGTGACTTCAGTCCAAGTCCTTAAAAGGAGTTGAAATATGATTTATCCACGAATTCTGCGATCATGTCAACTTCCTTTATCTGTGGCAGTCTCCGTAAAAATATCCCCGGTATCACTTCTCGGATTCTTAAATAAAAAGTTTTAATTAGAATGACCACCAATCACCAATGGTTCTATTTTACATTCATTGATCAGATATTTTATTCATCTTATTGTTTACACAAGCAATAATACTCGGAGTAATAAGTTTCTTCTATTTATCAAAATATTTACTGCAGT